GAGAAAAAAGGGTTAAAAACAGGGGGAAAAAACAGAAAAAGAAAAATAGAGGGTACTAGGGTAGTGAATATCCTATCTTCGGGGAATAGAGACCAGCAGCAACAACAGCCTTGACTGATAAGGAATGGGACTGGTAGTAAAGAAAGAAGGATCAGGGGCCAAGTCCCACTTACACGAATGATCGATTTCTGACCGCAGATTTGGAAGATCGACGACCAGAAATCAAGGATCAGCGTAAGTGGGACTTGGCCCCAGGCACCCCCCTGGAGGGCAGAAGAGGCCGACCCCCACCTATATTCTCAGACTGTGAAAAATGCTGTACTAAGGGACGCTGGACCCGGGGCAAGGTCCCACTTGCGCAAATAATGAGTTTTCGGCCGTTGATCTTCCAACAAACGAGGGAGAAGAGGACAACAAACGAGGGGCTGTGACAAACTGGTGTTTTTATCCACCAAACCTGTACTTGGCTATGTTCTGTTGCCTGATACTGTACCTTGATATCAGACCTTGTGCTTGATGCCTTGATATCAGACCTTGCTGCTTGATGCTTTGATACCAGCCCTGGTGGTTGACGCCTTAAGGGGAGGCAGCCTTGGTGCTCACCAACAGCAGCAGCCAATAAGATTCACAGGAAAACACTTACAAGACTTGCACGAGACAACAACAACACAGATTTAAACTCCACTGCCTCTGAAATGCGCTCGTCTGTCAGAACCAGCAGTTATGGATCCGTGCGTCTGGGCCTCAGCATTCGCACGGATTCGAACCGCGGACCTTGGCCTAAAGAGCCAAGACTGTCTTCTGAACCACTACAGCCAGGACACTGTGCTAGGAACCAGCCAGATAGACATGACACCACAAAACGAATGACAGTCTTGGCTCTTTAGGTAGGAGGTGGGAGTGGAGGTGGGAGGTGAGGGAAAAATGTTTAAAAATCTCACCGGTGCCTCCTCCCTCCTGCCACCTACCTCCCACCTCCCACCTCCCACCTCTTGTGTCCGACCTACCTCCCACCTCCCACCTCCCACCTCTTGTGTCCGTAAGGCTCCCCGAACGCAAAAGCTGTCAACAATGCACAGGGAGGGAATCAGGTCCTCCTCCGCCTCAACATTTCTAACATTCAAGTTGCATTCTCCTCCTCTTCCTCCTCTTCCTCCTCTTCCTCCTCCCCTGCTCATCCTCCTCTTCTATCTGCGCTCTTCCCAGTTGCACCTTCTTTCCCCCCCTCTAGGCCATCGTTCAACCGTACTCCTCTGCTCTTCATCATCCGCGTCATCCGTCCTCCTCTTGCCTGTGCTGCCTCGATCAGCACGAAAAGTGATCGTATTTTGTATGACGTCGTCACTGACAATAAAGGAAATCATGCCAAAATCCAAAAGGAGGAAATGAATTGTACGCGCAGCAGAAGTCCCAAGGCCTCCCAACCGTTGCACATCCCAGCTACAATCCTTTTCTTTGAACTTTCTTTGAAGTATCTTTTTTGAACTTTTTCTTGATTTCTTTTTGAAATTTTCCTTGAATTTCTTTGAATTTCTTTGAATCTCTTTGGATTTCTTCGAATTTCAGCAAATCTCTCTACCTGACCCTGTGGTATGACTTATGGTTCAGGATCAGCTGGACACAACCCCTGCCTTTGAGCCAAACAACTCAAATGACATTAAAGTTAGGCTACCAGACTCGCCTGGGACCACATCCCCGGCCAGGCAAAACAATAATAATAATATAATCAGGGTAACCGGCCTTCGGGACGGGCCGAACGCCCGAACGTACGGGACCCCTTGGGGATGCGTTCGGCCGTTCGGGCCGAACGCGGACCCAAAAAAAAAAAAAAAAAAAAAAAAAAAAA